CCTGGACACCGCCAAGGGCTCTAAGGCAGGCCCCTGGATGCTCATCTGACCGTAATTAAATACCTAAAACCCCTGAGCTTCCGGGGGCTCTGTCCCTTGGACCCCACCAAGGGCCCTAAGGCGGGCCCCTGGATGCTCATCTGACCGTAATTAAATACCTAAAACCCCTGAGCTTCCGGAAGCTCTGCCCGCTGGAACCCCACCAAGGGCCCTAAGGCGGGCCCTAGATGCTCATCTGACCGTTATTAAATACCTAAAACCCCTGAGCTTCCGGGGGCTCTGCCCCCTGGACCCCACCAAGGGCCCTAAGGCGGGCCCCTGGATGCTCATCTGACCGTAATTAAATACCTAAAAACCCCTGAGCTTCCGGAAGCTCTGCCCCCTGGAACCCCACCAAGGGCCCTAAGGCGGGCCCTGGATGCTCATCTGACCGTTATTAAATACCTCAAACCCCTGAGCTTCCGGGGCTCTGCCCCCTGGACCCCACCAAGGGCCCTAAGGCGGCCTCTGGATGCTCATCTGACCTTAATTAAATACCTAGAACCCCTGAGCTTCCGGGGCTCTGCCCCCTGGACCTCACCAAGGGCCCTAAGGCGGGCCCCTGGATGCTCATCTGACCGTAATTAAATACCTTAAACCCCTGAGCTTCCGGGGGCTCTTCCCCCTGGAACCCACCAAGGGCCCTAAGACGGCCCCTGGATGCTCATCAGACCGTAGTTAAAACCTCTGAGCTTCTGGGGGCTCCCCCCTTGGAACACGTCAATGGCCTTAAAGAGGGCCCCTTGATGCTCATCTAACCGTAATTAAATACCTAAAACCCCTGAGCTTCCGGGGGCTCAGCCCCTTGACCCCCTGCCGAGGCTCATGCCCTGGACCCCACGCCAATTTACGCTCTACCTGATCGATAATACTCCACTTTGAAAAACGTGGGACCTGCATGTAACGTGTAAGACTGGTGGTGATGCAGATTTTTCGTCTGCCCCCCCCCCCTTCCGAACTTTTTTTTCTCATTACGTCACTGCCCTTGGAAGGTGAGCCCCCTGGAATGTTTGCCCCCCCCCCAATCCCAAACTGCTTCCGGCGCGCCTGGAACTGCTACTGGCCAAAGAAGTGTTAATTATCAGGGTTACCTTAGATAACAGTCTCAAACAATCTGCATCATTACGACAATTTAAGTATAAATATAAACAATATCTCTGCAATTATAAATAGTCATATCAAGTTAAAAACAATTATTATTATGTTTCAAATCGCAATTATGTTATCATCGGGTCAATTTAATCTAATTATAAAACCAGACATTTGAAGGGAGAGTCCACCCTGAGGATGGGTTTACTCCGCCTTTACTTGGCCACACACATTCTCAGGGTGGACTTCCCCTTCATTGCTACCGGGGCTAGACTCGATAAGCTTCGCTTTTTCTAGCCCCATCTACATTACTTACCTTTTTATGTTTTAATGTTGATGTTTTGTTAACTGATGTAGATTTTCATTGTTCGTTTATGCTTATGTATCTGTTTTTCATTTGCTCTATGTGTCAAAATGTGTGCAATGTAATCTGTTACCTTGTATATTTTCTGGATTTTAATGTGGAAAATAAATGAATTTAAATGAAATGAAATTCAACTCCTCTCTTATTGTGACGTCTAACGCAAAATAAACTCCTAACATCTTATTTTCTTTAACTACACACACCCCACACACACCCACACTCACACTCATTCACACCATCTCTCTTCTAGTTTTCACTCTTGCACCTTTCTCTTCCTGTCTATGGCGCAAGATTTGCCCAATATTTCAGATAAACGTTGTTTATATCGAAACGCAGAGTTATTCGTATTTCGACGGGAGTGGGCGCTTTTCAAAGTCGCACTCAAAGGGCATCAACTCCACTTCTGTATCAATGATTATCAATAAAATTGCAAAGAGCATTTAACCAGAAGCGGATCTAGAGGGGGGGGGGGGGGGGGGGGGGGGGGGGGGGGGGGGTTACAACACCCCCCCCCAAAAAAAAAAAAAAAATCCGGGGACCATTTTTTTAAATCTTATCTTTTTTTTAAAACTTGTAATTTTATTTTATTCTATTTCTATGTATTTATTTCATTTATTATTATTATTATTATTATTATTATTATTATTATTATTATTATTATTATTATTATTATTATTATTATTATTATTATTATTATTATTATTATTATATTATTTCTTTTTGGGGGGAGGGGGGGGGGGGGTTGGGCGAACAAATGTCACAGAGTCCCTTGCTTAAACCCCCCCTTGGGCGGCCCCAAAAAAACAAAACAAAAAAAAAGGGGGAAAAAAAAGAAAAAAAAGAAAGAAAAAAGAACGCACGCTGGAGAGAAACTCTTTCAAGTGCAAATATTGTGAGAAGATATTCAACTCATCTGGTAACTTAACCAAACACATGATAACTCTGGATAGAACTATGTATTTAACTGTTACTTGATTTAAAAAGACGTTATCATGCACTGCTTTTTATGGTCTCCATTGTGTTAATAGATGCCAGGAAAACATCACTTACGGGGTTCAAATAAACCCCTCCAAAAAAAATCGGCTCGCCGCTTCGCGGCTCGTGGACGATGCTCCGCATCGTCATTATTTTGGTCACCCCCCCCCTTAGCAAAAAGCTAGATCCGCCCCTGTTAACCCATTAAACATGCGCCATTTATATATATATTAGTGCCCAAATGATTTCTCGCCTCGTTTTCAATGATCTTCCATATTTAATAGGTCCCTATTTTCATTTTTGCACTCGACGCCACTGATTTTGTTATTCATTCGGCTACCCCCCCCCGGATTAAAATGTTCAATCCAGGACCCCTTCCGATACTGAAATTAACATAGACCCTACCCTGCTGTCTCTCGAACACAAATTTATGTTTATCGAGTGATAAACATAGTTTTTTTCTCGATGAACAGTGTTTGTGTGAATTATTGGGCCAATGTCGCGCCATATACCTGTAATCCCTACCTTCTTTCCCCTTTTGTCTCTTCTGTACCCTCTACCAGTCCTGACCCCTCCCGCATCACATCTTGGCACCTGTAGACATCCGGGTTTCCTGTGAGCCATCGTGCTGACGTTCCGAATATTCCCAATTGAAAACTAATATCCGACAAGCCAAAACAACATTGCACATGCAAGACCTTGCAGCTTGCTAGAACATTTGAGAAACTTAAGATGTTCTCTATTTGTGACTTGAACAAATTCTCATGATCAATGTTTACATCAAAGTGATCGAAAAAATCTCATTATTGTTTTTCATTTTCACTCTGCGAAATAATGATGCAAAATAATATTTCTCTCTGAAAAAAGAAAAAAAAAAAGGAAAGCATCCACAGTACTAGTAATTTTGAATTATTTCAACTTTGTAACATCCGTAGCCATAGATATGACTTGTGTTGGCCTAAACTCACCTTAAATAAACATACATAATAACAAATATGTTGACACGAGTGCGAGAACTTTCCTAAATTAATACAGAAGAAGCAAAAATCAATTAGTCGATACTTTTTAATTGGCAGACACGTAAGGGTGTGAAAGTGAATACAAAATTAATATGAAAATCGGAGTAAACTGATGAAGCATTAAAGACAAGTTGAAAAATCTGCATTGTATTTCTTTTATTGCACTTCACTGAACATACAAAAATATACATGATAAACAACAAACATTCTAATTCTAATTCCGACGAGAACTGTATCTCATTCCCTCAACACGAAGTAAGTATTAAAGGGCTCCTTTCCATTAATGGTTGCCGTTATACAATTTATAATGTTGTATTTTTTAGAGGAAAAGTGTAAATAAATTCTGCATTAAATATTAGAGTACACAATGTGATAATTCGCACAAAATTTAAGTGATTGCACTGGATTCAGATTCGTAGTTAGAATGCATAGATAATTTTTAATTTTTTAATTTTTAATATTACCTTTTTCCTCAAATTTTTCTTAAAAGTTAGTAGTATCGTATTAAACTTCCAACATGTCTACATAATAAGAAGCTCAATTCATGATAGAATCTCATTGCCAAGGTTATCTTCTTCAGCATTTACATTGCGAAACAACAACAATAACAAAAAACAAAACAAACACAAAATATATACATAAACAGAAAAATAATAAAAAAGCAAATATAAACCTAATAAAAATTATCATAAGAATAATTATAAATTGATCATGAACAATCCTTTATTATTTCATGTATCTACTTCTACTTCAAATGCATTAGAGTTTTAAAAAAGGTAATACAAAAATGAAAGAATGAAAAGAAAGAAAGAGAAAAACAAGATAGCAGGTCCTATATTATTGAAGCTTTTACCATCTCAGTAACACAGAGATGCGATCTTAGTTAAACTAGGCAGTTATTTTACTTTTGACAAGTCTCTACTTTGTCTTTAAAGTCGATCCGCTGACAGACAGAGTAGGGAGTGACTTCGCGCCAAGTTCGGAAGCCAAGAAACCCTCATCCACCGCGCATGAGATGATAGATGCAGGCCACGTGACCTGGCCAGGGAAGTAAGAAAGATGGAGGACGTTGACTGTTGGTCGCACGGAGAGAGGAAAGAGAGAGAGAGAGTGTGTGTTATAGATAGATGGATAGATATATAGAACCGGCCAAAATATTGGGGGGGGGGGGTGAGAAAATAAGGAAGGGAACAGATTCTATTCTATTCTATGGTAATACTCATCAACGCCTGTTCAGCATCTAGATGAGGGTAAAGCATAGAGTTGTTATATACATCTCTATCCGAAGATAAAATGTCTAGATGAATGTGTTTCACATTTAATCACCGGCAACGTCAAATTATCCAATTTTGATATAAAAATTGTAATGGTTAAGGGTTTCTTTTTTTTTCTTCTTCTGTCAAAACTGCTCTCTCAAAATTACATAAAGCCTCGGTCACAAATGCCATTACGAACTGCTACGAACGCCGTACGAACGAATTTCAGACAATGGAAATTTGGGAAGACAATGGAAAAACGGGGAGATTCGTACGAACGCATCGTTCGTACGAACCTTTGTGACCGTAGCCTTTCTATCGAAATCATCTCACTGTATCATCAGTCCAAATTTCACATCCCCTGTACATCCTCATCATCGTCGTCATCAAACAACCTCCCCTCCAGTCTCCATGACGACGTCGTGGTCATCGCCACTCTCCCTCATGTCCTTGTAGGACGTTTGGTGGCGCCCTGCATGGACCTTCTTTTTGAGTCCTTTGAACAGGTATTGAGTGCCTCGGAGTCCCCCGTACAACGTCACGGCTAAGACGGCGAATAAGACGCATGGGATGAGCACGTGACCAAATATGGTGGCGGGAGAAGCGTCTTCTGTGAATCATACAGAGATAGAGAGAGAGAGAGAGAGAGAGAGAGAGAGAGAGAGTGAGAGAGAGAGAGAGAGAGGGAGAGAGAGATAGAGGGAGAGAGATAGAGAGAAAGAGAGAGAGAGGGAGAGAGAGAGAGAGAGCGAGAGGGAGAGAGAGAGAGAGAGCGAGAGAGAGAGAGAGAGAGGGGGAGAGGGAGAGAGAGGGAGAGATAGAGATAGGGAGAGATAGATAGAGAGAGAGAGAAAGAGAGAGAGAGGGAGAGAAATGGATTTAAATGTAGGCCTATATATAATGATAGAGAACAGTTATGTACCATGAAACAAGAATATAAACATGGGACAAACCACTCGAGACAAGATTAATAATAATAATAATTCTACATTTATATTGCGCACAACTCTGCCAACATAATGGCATTCTTGGCGCACAGATCAACAAATCAAATACATTGTAAGAATATGGTCAACAAATCAAATACGTTACAAAATATGGTCAACAAAGTAAGATGTTTTGCATAGAAGATATGTTTATACTGTACAAATTGTTCCTTTTTATAATTTTGTATCCGAAAATAGTGACATGAAGTATTATCGTCACCTTTTTCTTTTTTATATTGGAAAATCTATTAATTTTCTCCCAAATTGCAGAACTGTATCACAATGTGTATACCTGATTGAATATGTACTATATTAGTTTGGAAACTTATATGGAAAATATTTTTAAAATATGTCCGTGTGTGTAATGTATGAGACAATGTACTATGTTTATACTGTAAGAACAATTATGTTCCTCTTTATCATTTTGGTATAATTATGAAAATCTGAATAAAGGCAAAAAAGCTTTAACAAAAACAAAATATAGCCGAGCCGCCAAGTAAACTAGCGACCAAGCAGACAGATAGACACCTGGGTGGGGAGAGGCGATTGGAGATAAATGTCTGACCAAATAGGACATTCCTGCCTGGATGGGATTCGAATCCTCAACTATCTGACCATAGGTCCATGATCTGACAGTCAAGTCAATGAACACCATGGTTTATGAAGTATATTCACAGAAGCTTTAAAGCCCGTCTGTACTAGTTTAGCCAGGAGGGATTAGGCCACCCAGGGTGGTCACTGACAGGTGGCTATCGTATCAAATCAGCTCTCAATTTACATAAGAAAAAGAGGATCACGGGGGACCAATGGTCACCGATTAGCCAATATTTTCTATATAGAGGAAGCAAGTACCTACAAGTAGTACAGTGGGGCTTTAACTTATCTAACAAGAGGGGAAAGTGGAAAATATATAAAAATAAAAATAAATCTTACTGTCAAATGAAAATATTTGTCCCACAGCTGCCGTCTCGTGTGGTGACATCGTGACGGTAGTTGCTGAAAAGGTGATGAAACAAAACATTGTCATGATTTCATCATTTGTTTCTTCATTTCACAAACGATACACAAAAACAAAAGAAGAAAAAGAAGAAAATAAGCAATAAACCCTGTATAAGGGCTAAATCTTGTTTTGTTTTAATACAAATTACCAAATGTATGCACCGACAGGCTTAGAACAGAATAATCAAAAGCGATTCCTGGTATATTCAGGTAGAAAAGTGATTTTAACAACTCAAAGAAACAGAAAAAGCAATATCAAATAATACTTTGGTAGAAAAAGACGAGATCCTATAATAAGATCAATCCATGAGCCCAATGAAGAAAAAAGAAGAAAAATAGAAAGGAAAAGGAGGGAAAGGGGAAAAGGAGAAGAAGAAGAAATATTACGGTAACGAAGATATTGGGCATTTCATGAGTCAAAAGAAAAAAGATCTGCTCTTACTTGTAATGGCCATCGTTGGATTCGGTCCTCGATGAACACCGTTCATTTTGGTCTGTGGTTTTCTGCCAACTATAAAGAAAAACGAATAAAATGCACTAAATATGGGAACTAGATGGTAAGAGAGAAAAGAAAATGAGAATGGAAGGCAGGGGTAGATACCTTTAGGGGGGGCAGTATCGAAAATATTTGACGTGTTAAGCAAACAGATGAAAAAGAAAAGAAAGGATTTCGGGGGCATTCGTATATTTGTTTCCTTTTTCACTTGGGGTCTGTGGGGCTGGGTCGTGTTACCCCTACATATACATGTACATTTGACACTGATGGACTACTTGGAAATATGTAGACATTTAAATTTAGTGTTTGGGTTATCTAGTTGCAAGGTTATAATAAACTCAAGAAATGGCGGCCATTTTGGACACCATCTTAGATTGCGGAAAACGCTCAAGGAGGATTTATAGAACCTTTAGTATGTTATTTTAGACATATTCCTGGACCTAACCTGAAAAAAAATCAGCCTGTTATGAGAAATGTTCAGGTTTAAGCCTATTTTGACCTAATGCTCTTGGCCTATTATAGAGGAGGAGACGAAAGGACAAGGGTCTATAGATGGCTACTGCCGAACTAATCTAAATGGGGGGGGGGGGGGGGCGGGGTGGAACAATGTTGTCGCATTTTAGCAACCTAAAAAACAAAAGCCCAAAAGCTAAAAAAAAAATATCCATTATGCAAGAAAAAGAACTCCCATATATCATCGCTCACAAGGCTAAAGAAATAAAAAAATATATATTAATCGCACATGAATGAATAACATGAATAATATAAAAGAGAGAACAAACCAATTTGAGAGATATGAATATTTACTTCATTGAAGAATCTTATAGGGCTCTGACTTTTAGTTTCTTCAGAATGCTTAAATAAGGGATATTTTCATTCACTCATTCAAGAAATTAAGATCAAGGAACTGCTTGATAGGATGAAGTTTGAAAGATTAATCTCGAACTCTCCCGAACTTCATTTTTACATTCTCAATGTTGCCCTAGCCCGGATATAAAACACATTATTCATAAACGCCCCCTGACGGAAAGATTCCTTGTACAAAAAAGATCCAAGGAACTGCTTGGTATAAAGATGAAGTTTGAAAGATTAACCTCGAACTCTCCCAAACTTCACGCTTTTTAAAACATTCCCAATGTTGCCCTAGCCCGGATATAAAACACATTATTCATAAACGCCCCCTGACGGAAAGATTCCTTGTACAAAAAAGATCCAAGGAACTGCTTGGTATAAAGATGAAGTTTGAAAGATTAACATCGAACTCTCCCAAACTTCACGCTTTTTAAAACATTCCCAATGTTGCCCTAGCCCGGATATAAAAACACATGAGTCACAAACGTCCCACGGGAAGATTTCTTGAGCAGCAAGGAGAAGGGGGCAACCCTCTCCCGAACCTCCCCACGGAGACGCGAGACGATTAGAAATGTTAGTTCCAGGTTTTGGCCGCGCGCCTTGAGTTGCCACGGGAACAGTAACGGTAAATTTCGGGCGGGTAGAGTCATATTTCCTGTTTTTAAACTAGAAATCTGTTTCCACTCTTAGATAACCCTCAACAAAAAATAATCATTATTACCTTCGTTTATTTCATTTAAGCCTTTCTATCTTCCATAAGACAGTTCTGTTGGTTCAAGTGCGGGCTCGAGAAAGTTGAGTAACAATGTCAACTGGTAGTCATACAATTTAAGGTCACGTGATTCTTCTGCAGATTTTTCAAGCTACTCCTAGTTCAACGTTCTGGTAAGAAATTTGGATTTTCAGTAAATCCTGCGCAGATTCAATATAATTTGTTCATTATACAGTGAACGAGTAGTTTTTGGACCAGGAAAATACAAACAAACTAATGAAAAGGTGTTAGAAACTGCACGATCTACACGATTCGAAAAGACTTTTCGAAACTTCGAAATGAGCGAACATGGCAGTGGCATTACGCAACGTAAAGAGGATTATACATGACATAGGTATGTTTTCATTAGCTCGAGATTGCCAAATAGCCCGCTGTTCCTGACAAATTGCGTCTCCATCAGCTCGAGACTCGACCTTGTGTAATTAGCTGGAGATATTCTGCTCAGAATTCGCGGATAGTGCGAGTTTTCGGGCTGGTGAAAACGCACCGGACACATAGCGGAATATTTTGCCAAATAGCACGATATTTAGCAAACTAACCCAAAATATCATGGAATGATTATCTTGACCAAATATCCCACTAATTGCAACTGCGGGCTGATGAAGACGCAAATTAGTTTGATAATGTGCGATAGGGATAGTTAAAATAGCGGGTTATTTGGCAAGTTCAAGCTGATGAAAACAGGCCTTGTTGCATTTTCCCTTGAGATGATTTCCCGGAAGTTTCGTTGAAAAGCTCAACTCATGAGACTTCCTGTTTCATTCTTTGGTGAGGACTACATAAAGCTCCAATGTTCTTCTATTACGCCGCGCAGTATACTCAGCAGTTTCTTACTTTCTTCAATTATACTTTGAGAGATATCATTTACTTGCAATCTTAACGCCCCCACTCAAAAATGAAATGGAAGCTGTTATTACCAATCATATGAAAGAATATGTTTTTGACTAATACGTGATGATACAAATTTTGCCGGGAAACCGCCTACTAATTGATATATTTGGTTAATTATCATATCGATCCGGCCTGGATAGGTGTCGTGAATGCACTTCAACATTGAACATTTGGGCATTATTTCTGTTTTTTGCGAATTTGGGTTGAAGTTTTGCCATCTAAACCTCTGAAGGCAATATTTAAACAATATTGAATTGATATTTTGCATCCAAAACCCTTGAACCGCAATTTTACCACTACCGGTCTATATCATTCAGTTGCAGTACATATTTTGTTTGATTATGTTTACCTCTATGTTCCGGTATTCTTCTGACATTTACAATATCAGATGATCACCTTTAATAATGACTGTCTGGGAGCAAAGTGACGAGGAAGTGAATAATTCGATCTTGGCAATGGTTCATCAACTTCTCCATGAACAGGGACAAAATTGTGGTAATGACAGTTTATTATGTAATGTATCGCTTTAAAAATGCCCAGTACTTGCCAGAAAGTAATGGCAATGATTTTGCATGTTTGAAAGAGGGGGAAGTTGACTAAGTTGATGGACCATAACAAAGACGAGGATGAGGACTGATGATTTGATGAAGATGATCACAAGAACAAGAACAATATCAACAATATCAACAACAATAATAACAACAACAAAAAAACAAGAACATTAATAATACTCATATTCATAATAGTGTTAATGAAATTGAAAATAATAATAACAATGATGATAATGAAAATGATAATGATAATAATGGTAGCAATAATAATGATGATAATGATAACATTATTATCAATAATAGTATTAACGACATCAATAGTATTTTTAAATAGAAGAAGGAGAAGAAGAAGGAGAAAACAGAAGTAGACGAATAATAAGAAGGAGTTGTAGATGAAGAAACACGAGATGAACAAAAAGAAGATGAAGAAAAAAGAAAATTATAATCCGTTTTAATGATCGGGTTTTAAGATAAGTGGATCTCTTTCAATACAATCTAAGAAGCTCATCTTACTTCTACATGGAGGCAAAATGCCAACCTAACTGTCATCACGCTCCCGATTGCACTTCCTTCGTCAAACTTCGAGAGGGCTCAAATTCCGCTTAAAGGTTGAGACTTGAATTTCCGCTAGACAGAAGGTGTTTGTTTTGTACATTAAAGCCCCACTGCACTACTTATAGCTACTTGCGCCCTCTATATAGCAAACAAAGCCTAATCGGTGCCTGTTGGTCTCCCATGATTCACTTTTGCTTAAGTCATATCTGATTTGATGAGATAACCACTTGACAGTGACCTTGCAGGGAGGTCAATCCCCCTGTCCAAACTAGTACAGACGGGTTTTAAAGGCTGTCTGATAAAAATATTTCATTTATTTCGAATTATTTTCGATACATTCATTCAGTAATTTTTCCTGAAACAATCCTTACACCTCTGACGTATGACAACAACGTCAGCACCACCAACAACAACTAAACAATAAGAACAAATGATACCACGATGATTTAATGAAACTATTGCTTCCAAATTCCGAAAATTTGTATTGAAACTGTATCTGCATCGGAAAATGTGCTGCTCCCGTTTAAAAATTAGATATCAGATCTGCATATTCTGAGATTTTCATGGTCGCAGCTACCATGAAATGGCCATAGGCGCTATTTGATATATTTGAAATTTACGGGGAGCACCGGTAAATTTTGTTTACTCAATTTCTCGAAAGCAGAAGTGTTTTTTGGGCTAAATTTTGTAGTGCTTATATAACATCCATAGGGGCATCCAAATAATTTCAAAGAATTACTATCCATCCAAATATCAAATTTTCTCAAAACTTTGCAGTACCTTTAAAGCGCAGGAATAATGAAGGAAAAAGTCTATCGATAAAGGGATACGCTATAAGCTGAAGAGCAGATATTGATGATAGATTACTTTAGAAAAGGGAAAAGAGGAGAAGGACGAGAAAAGATATTAATTAGTGTGATCATCACACGCGAGCAAATAAATTTATTTTTCTACGTATACTTTGTTTTTAGGACGTATTGTAAAACAGCCTCTGAGGAACAAATTCTTCAACAAGCTCTGCTTGTAGTTAGTTCCTTTTTTCTCCTGCTCTTACTATTATTTGTCTGATTGCATTTGTTTATTTTTGTAACATAGTTATTCATTGTGTTATGTTTTGCATAAGAAACAAATCATTTGAATCTTGAATCTTGAATCTTGAATCTTGTATAAATGTCATGGTATTTTATAGCCTGTGATACCAATCTCTACTCTCTTGCGAACCTTCAAATCAAGATTAAAAAATAGACAGATGTTTAAAGTTAGCCATTATCACGAAATTACTAGCTTACATTCAAGTAATCTCTTATTTCTTTCGTCGAGATTCAGGGATATTCATGTTTTTGTTTATCGTCATGATCTAAAACCGAAAGCCTCCGTGGCATTGGTGTCTTCTTCAGTGGAGGGGGGGGGGGGGGGATGGGGAGGGGGAGGGAGACGAAGGGATGATTGCGGGAGGATGAGGATAGGGTGGGGTGGTGCGGGGGCAGGGGGGGGGATACAATCCAACTTGTAAACATCAACAATTGTAAACAAAAATGAACATTAAGTAATTGGCTAGACATTACTTATCGCTACGAAGTAAAATATCAGAAAGGAAATCTAGAACCAGACTTAATTTTATTAAATTTTTGTACCAAATGTACATATATCTGCATTGATTATCAATGTGAAATCAAATCTGAAGACTTAGTTCTGATCTCACTGATCTGGCGGGCTTCTCACTTTCCGGCTCACTGAAACAAGAAGATTTGGACTGCTTGAACAAGATGACTCATCGTATTCATTCCAGTATTGAATACAAGACGTTACATGATATTTCCTCTGGTGCAGTTGCTGAGGATTTATATGTTTTCATGGTTGAATTTCACTGCGAAGGGTGGGTTTGACACTATCCTAGTCATACGATACGAATAGATAACATTGACATGATTCAAGTGGAGCAAACGACGTGTAGAAACACTTTTCATTTTTCATTTGTTTTCTCACTAAAACATATACCAGAACTGAAATAAAGAACATTAATTGTGTGTGTCATGGTGATAGGGATCAATGTAGTAGTAGTGGTGGTGTTTTTGTTTACCTAACTGCTAAGGACATAATGGGAGGGGGGGGGCGGAGGAATAGAAAGCATAACAAGCATAGAAAAGCATGAAAAGCATAAAGGAGGACCGACGTCTTTAGGTCCTCTCCGAGAGACCTGGTAATGAGGATTAATGCCTTACCAAAGGGCACAAGTGCATCGCCTTGGTTTCGAACCCTGGTCGCCGGATTACGAGTCCACTGCTCTACCAACTGAGCTATCGCGCCTCCCTCTGTACATATACGTGAGGATATTTGTTTACAAATTTGTGCCATAGTTGAGGTTCTACTCTTGGCAGAGAACGCAATGTATTTCCCTGCGCAATACTTCTGTGAGCAGAATCAAGTTTCACAATTTTTCTTTTATTTATCATATCAACCTGTTACCAGTGTAGCATATACATTGATATAACGGTTGATATGTACAATGAAGAACATTATAAGGTGGGAAAGTGTGATGACTATTTCTAATCATACATAAAGATTTCTCAAGAGTATGTTACTACTACCGTACTAGTATTGTTGATGATGGTGATGGTGATCATAATGACAACAACAACAACAAGAAAAAGTAATAATAATACTAATATGACTGATAGTTATAATAAACGATGACATGGGTGATCGAGCAAAAGGCAAAGCATGAAAATATGACAAAAAGCAAAACAAAGAAACCCCCAAAATCCCAAACAAAAAAGAAAAGTGAAACACAATAAATATAAAAGCAAGCAAAACAAAACAGAACAGAACAAAACAAAAGAAACCAATACAAAACAAGACAAATAAAGAAAAGAAAACAAAGCAAAGCAATAGAAAAGAAGAAGAAAGAAAAGAAAAAATCGCGTTAAATCACTTACCAGCAAATGAACACACTGCGAAGATTCCGATGAAGACGACTCCAAAGTTAATTGACCTCACTATCAAACTCGCCATTTTATATTTTTCTTCAGTTTGATGACTATCAAACACGCGTACGAAGGTTTGTGATTCTAGGAATGGATACTGAAGTATTTGAGATGATTTCTTGCTTTTCAATAACTAATCATCTACCAATTCGACAATCAAGTTCACTGAGAAATTAATTTGTGCTCTTCTTCAACTTTACAGAGGCTCCTATGTCTTTTGATAGATCATAAACCAGCCAGATGAGTAATTTGGAACTCGAAAGCCAATTTGTAAACTTGTTCTCTTTTTGATGGCCTTAACTAAATCCTGGACGATGAAGTATTTATGACAGTTGGGCAACTTCCAGAGTTTCTTCGGGCAATACAGGTTATGCGAACTATGCAAAAAACACTTGCGAAATATCGGTCAAATGTTCAAGTGCTTCAATAATAATTTCAAAATACGTCGTTGTCTGAAACGCACTATGTGTTGTTTGAGTTGCCCAAAAAGTTGCGACTAACTTTTATACTTTTTCTCCGCGAGCAAAAAGTATTGGCAAGGAAAGTTAGGGGATGGCGTCATTAGCTCTACCCACTCCTAACTGTTCATTGCTCCACATGGTTGTGTTTACAAAATTCAGTTTCTTGCTAGACTTTGTAAACAGTCGTTGTTGTCACATGTTTTTTTATTTACCTCTAAGATATATATGTTTAATAAGGAAATATAGAAATAAAGTACCAGATGCGTAATTATTATTTTTTCTGTTTTCGAAACCAGATACACGACATTTAATGTGTTTATGCTAATTTAATTTGCTAAGGTGTAAATCAAAACTATCACAAAGTGTCTGCAAACTAGACTACCTGTTCTTGTACGGATGTAGGCGGGGCTCTCGATCTCACACTTGATTGGTTGTCTTGATTCGCAGGATTAACCCTCATAAAGAATAAGAAGCTGACGATGAAAACGAGACTCCGCGTACTCAAATGCTACGTGTATCCAGTTCTAATGTATGGATGTGAAGCTTGGACCCTGACATCAGACCTGAGAAAGCGACTGGAAAGTTGTGAAGTTTGGTTCCTGAGAAGGATGCTAAGAATTTCATGGACAGAAAGACTTTCTAATGATGAGGTATTTGCCATAGCAGGAACAAGACGAAAGTTTCTGAATAATATAAGAGGTCGACAGCTGAGCTTTTGGGCCATGTTATACGGAAGAATGGTTTGGAAAATCTTGCACTGACTGGAAGAATCGCGGGGAGGAGGAGTAGGGGTAGAAAGAGGATTCTGTAGATGAGTAGCTTAAAGGTAATACAAGGTTTTGGTATGGGTCATGAATTTGGTTCAAATGAAAGTATTTGAAGCATATGCGATCCTACATTATTCAGTGATCGTTGTCGCGGTTGAAATCGAGTCTAAAGTTATGAAATTTTAAATAATAAACTCTTTATGTTGTATAGCTCCCTCTCAAGGTCAAATTATTAATAAAGCTATAAAAACAATGTGTCTTGACTAAAATCGACCGATTAGCTATTCCCGTTTGAAAATTATATATAACAACTACATATTCTGAGATTTTCTTGGTCGCAGCTACCATTGTAAGGCCGTAGGAGCTTTTGAAATTTATCAAAATTTACCGGGAGCACCGGTAAATTTTGATATTCAATTTTTCTCGAAAGCAGGAGTGTTTTTAGGCGCTAAATTTTCTAGTGCTTATAATACATCCACAGGGGCATCCAAATATATCAAAATGGTAAAGAATCACTACCCACCCAAATTTCAAAATTTCCCCAAACTTTGTATTACCTGGAGTGGGATTTCTGAATGTGGAATTGATCTCAGGGGAGAATGAATTACTTCATAGAATATGGGATACAGAGCTGTGGCACTCCATGGTCGCCAACGTCTCAGGACATGGCACGTACAGAAGAAGAAGAACTCTCATAAGAGGGTAATACACATTATCGCAAAGAGTCAAAATCGAGCAATGAATGAGTAATCAATATTCTTGTGCATCACTTTTTGACGCCAAACTTTATTCACATGATACATGAGTATTTAGTTTTACCGAACATAGGCATAATGATTATTACAATTATGGGAAAAAACCATTTGAAAGATACATGGAAACAATATCAATAACAGTACAAGTCGGAGGGGGGGGGGGGGGGGGGGGGAGTGAGCACTAATTAAAAAAAAAATTGCCTTCGGAAATGTGAAAATCACGCCGGCCTAATATTTCGCTGAGTGAGGGTTAGTGTGCGCACTAAATTAAAAAAACCAAAAATATAAAATGAAATAAAAATCAACATCCCCCTTGAGCAAAAGAAAAAGGTAAATTTGTGGTTAGCATTTATTTTATTCGCCAGGGTTGGGGGCCCATCGCAATAATGAACAGAAAGGTCAAAATCAGACAAAGCTGTTACTTTAGTTTCCGGTAATATGGTCTTACCTTGGTTTTCTGTTTATTCTTGCGATTTACCTTGATGAGTACAAGACGAAAAGCTTTAGGATGTCTGTATTAATTGCTGTTCTTCAATTTTGTGCAATCATCTCTAAAGAGGAGGAGGGGGGGGGGGGGAGAAAAAATATTTTGGGAATATGTATATAAAGAGGAACATGGCACATTTCCCCTTGTCCCTCCTTCGAATTTTACATGGTTTTAATTACACGAGTGTAACATTCTTCTTATACAACATTTTTATGCCTCTTTATCTCACAATGCACTTCCAATAACAAGAACTTAAGATAGCTTTCACCATCATTATCATCATCATCATTACAATCACCTTCACCATAATCATCATCACCATCATCATCATCATCAGCATCATCATCACCATCATCACCATCATCATTATCATAATCATCATCATCACCATCATCATCATTACCATCACCTTCACCATAATCATCATCAGCATCATCAGCATCATCATCATCACCATCATCATCACCATATCATCATCATCATCATCATGATCACCATCATGATCACCATCATCATTATCATCATCATCATCACCATCATCATCATCAACATCATCAACATCATCATCATCACCATCACCATCATTATCATAATAATCATCAACATCATCATCACCATCATCAACATCATCATCATCATCACCATCATCATCATCATCATAATCACCATCATCATCATCACCATAATCATCATCATCATCACCATCATCACCATCATTATCATCATCATCATCATCTCAATGAAATATTTTGGTAAACGTATCATCCATTCGAATTTCGACACTCCCAATGGATTTCTTTGGAACCAGCAGATCCGAAGAAATCCATTGGGAGTGTCGAAATTCGAATGGATGATACGTTTACCAAAATACCCTGCAACTCAGTCCATGTTTATTCAATGGTTTAATACTAATCAACGAGAACGAACTAACGGTACTAACACCACATTAAAAAGCAGTAATGTTGGTCTAAATGAGGTGGGTGGGGGGGGGGGGTGGTGATCGAGACAAGAAGAAGTGGAGAGAGGGAGGCAGGGAGTGTTATCCTGGAGTGAAAGTCAGCCATTCTTCGTCAGAGTGCGGACTGTAGGCGGGGCTGCACTACTTGTAGCTACTTGCGCCCTCTATGTAGTAAACAATGCCTAAGCGGTGACCATTGGTCCCCATGGTCCCCTTTTTCTTATGTTAATTGAGAGCCGATTTGATGAGATAGCTATCTGCCAGTGACCATCAGTGAGGTCTAATCCCCTGGCCAAACTAGTGCAGAGGGGCTTTAATAAATGGTGTTGATGATGATGAATGAAATGCCCAAGATTCGGTATATAAGGAGATGGTGTGGAGTCGGTTTGGGGTTAAACTGAGCCAGGAGGTTTGGTGTAATGGTTTTAGACGTAACGAAATATATAACAAAACTAAAAACATCACATTCGAGTACTACGACAAATAATGTCAATACATGTAGTTTATTTTTAGAAACACTTTGCAAATTTGACCTTACGTTTAATTTCATCATTCAGACCTGCATGAACATGTTTATTTGAAGAACACAATTGTTTTCTAAATGATGAACCATAAACAGCACAGATTGACAACAAAGAGTTTTACATTCGTTACAAAACATCATTAGAATAGAAACTTCGGCTAGCACCCTGTAAATTGCCAGGCAACGATCTTGATCTGGTGGTAGAGTCGCTGCCTGGCATGTTTTACTCCCGCTGGTTCCAATACTTTTTCTGACTTTGTGTTTATATACAAGCACGCGATCTTATTGGGTGCAAGCCGAACTGTATTTACAGATTGCAATTACTCCCAGAAAAACTTACATCCAAATATTACGATAGATCATAACAAAACACAAGGCTTATATTTTTTTGAAAAGGTGAAGATTATAAGGTGAGAAAGTGGGGTAAAAACTAATGTCCTTTGGCAAGATATTGATCTATATTTGGTACCCGGTAGGATGCGAAAGCTAATGGGGTTAGATTAGCAAGTGTGCGCTTGAAAAAATGACGCTTCGCTGGAATGCTCCTCAGGGAGTCGAGAATGTGCATACATTGTGTGCAGGTAAGCCGGAATCCGATGACCGGGATGATAATATATATCTGCAAAGCGCCTTGAGAGGGGCTTCGGTCATGAAAAGCGCTATATAAGAACTATTATTATTATTAAAACCAACCAAGACAATATAATATTGCATGTGTGTTTGTGAAAGATACGCAATCATTATTCAATTATGCACCTGCGGTACATTCTGTGATACACAGGTTGAAGCATTCATTTCAAGGGGGCAAGCAAAAGCTATTCATGAAGCACCTCCATCCCTTTGGCAACGATTATTCTAACATGCAGGAAGTTGGACTTCTCCATGATTAAAAGATCTCTGGACATTTAGGGGTGATTTGTATCATGTACCATCTACGACCTGGTATATTATTCCAGACAGTTCCTCTGACAACGTTATAGCGTGACAGGTACTCAACTTGATCCAAATTTCCGGGCTCGATCTCCTAGTCACCATCGAAATCATTCTCTACTTCCTCAAGACAAGGACTGTTCCTGATCTCCAGCCATGTAGTCTTCCAGGTACAGTTCCTTGAACCTTGAAATTAAAAAAATCTTCCAGCAGCTCCTAGAGACTATCCCGGGTTGACGTTACGTTGTGAATCAGTGCAAGGCGCTATTTAGTCCAGAATCTGGCTTATTTAATTTTGATCTCCACCACACCAACGCTACCTCCCCCTACTTACTTGCTACCAACCGATGATGGCGTGATCATTAAATTAGGACGCCCGGCGGAGAGCATAATTATGAGTTTGTTGATAACGCCATCTTCAACGGCTTGAATCAAGTGTGTAGGGAATTATAACGGACCGGGCAGATTCTGAGCTAGGCGCTATGGTGAACAAAGAATAGTGCATTTCACATCTACAATACAAACTGAGCGTGCACCGTGCGATTAAAACCTGCTTTTATGTTAAAGGAGAAGTCCATCGTGATATCAAGGTGGTTTGGATGAAATGTTGAGCAAAAACCGATCAAAAATAAGAAAGTTATGAATTTTGAAGGTGCGATCAATTAAACGCAAGTTGACAACTCTGGGAAGTGTCTCGCGAGTTCCCCGCCCCTTTACCCTACACTAAAAAACAAAACAATCATACATTCACCCCAAGATGATTAATGCAAATATGCTTGCTACAACCCCTGTATAAAACGAATCTATTCCGTTATCAATAACTAAGAAAATGAAAGTTTATGATTTTTTTTGTTGGTACAGAGTAATTTGGAGATTACCTCGCAACATACGTCACAGTGTTGCCAATTTGTGTTTCACTGATGACAACATCTAAAATTCATAACTTTCCTATTTTAATCGGATATTGCTCAAACTTTTAGTTATTTGTTTCCCTCATTTCTCTGCCTCATTAAAGCCCTACTGCACTTCTTATAGCTACTTGTGCCATTTATACAGCAAACGATGCCTAATCGGTGCCTTTTGGTCCCCCGTGATCCTCTTTTTCTTATGTTAATTGAGAGCTAATTTGATGAGATAACCCTGACCTGTCAGTGACCCTGCTTGCAGGGAGATCTAATCCCCATTAAACCTAACTAGTGCAGAAGGGATCTAAAACTAACTTATCAGTGTGGACTTCCTCTGTAAAAGCATGTGTGACCAAAAATGATGAAGGGTGCATCGTATGGACGACTGGTCGTGCGGCCCTTCTGAGTTGTTGATTTTGACAACAGGTCCAATGGTAGAACAAAACCTGAAAGTAGGAAGTGTAATCACCTGGGGGCGTTTCACAAAACTTGCCATCAGTCACAAATGACAATTTTTGTTATAAGCTACTGAAATCTTTGCTTCTGATTGGTTATCAGCAGATTTGTCACTGATTTTTGTCATTTGTCATTGAAAAAAGGCTCTGTGAAACGGGTCCCTGTTGATGTCAAGCTCAAGGTCAACTATCGAGATCATCCTCTACCTCTTCAAGATATAGGCCGTTCCTAATCTCAAGTTCCAACTTGCGCTTCTTGAGTCGTAGGATCTCCTTGTTCGTTCTGTAGTTCTCCATCTTCGCTAGGTGTTCACGCCGTTTGATCTGCATAATTTGCTGAAAAATAAGATAAGAGTATTATCTAAGTTTCGATACATATGTTTATTATAAAGCAAAATAAAACGACCCAGCAAGATTAAGGCAGAGTAAAGGCAAGATATATATGGACAGAGATGTAAGATAAAAAGTATATTATCAAGCAAAATAAAACGACCCAGCAAGATTAAGGCATAGTAAAGGCAAAGCTATAGATATACAGTCAAACCTGCTTTAGTGACCACCTGTCTACAAAGACCACCTGTCTACAACAAGCACATGTTTTGTTTCCCTTGAAAATTGTTTCTCATTGAAACATGTACTAAAGGAACCTGTCTACAAAGACCACCTGTCTACAAAGACCACTTTTGTGTTTCCCTAGGGCGGTCGCTGTAGACAGGTTTGACTGTATATGGACAGAGGTGTAAGATAAAAAGAGGCAATAAAGAGGCAGACAAATATTATTAATAGTTATTAGATTTTGAGAGAGAAAGAGAGAGAGAGAGAAAGGGGAGGGGGGAGGGTTTATATATAATAATGATAATAATAATAATAATAATAATAATAATAATAATAATAATAATTACAATAATAATAATAATCTTTTAAAGTCCACTCCAAATTTTATTAAGTTAAACCGAAAATGGAAATTCTTTTTGTCCAATTGATCGTGAGCCCGGCACCCACTGAGCAGCGCCAGGTCGACGTTGCTCTATCCATTTTTGTTGAAAGCCAACCGAGGTAGCAGCAACTCCCGTCTTTTAACGGTAAAGACCAGTTTTGGAAACGCCCCAATTTCAAAAAATGAAATGGAAGCTCTGATTACCAATCGTGTGAAAGAATATGTTTTGACTAATACATGATGATAAGGGAAACCGCCTACTAATTGATATATTGGTAAATTAGTTTATCTATTGGTGTGTGAGAGATAAACGCACGTGTCGCGCACGTGTGCGTAGTCCCATCTACATCTTTCTGTGTACAGTGATTGTTACTTTACCGTCATCGAAGACTAGGTCAAATTTCTTATCATTTTGATGATTCCAGAACCTTGCAGTATACTTATATGCAAGATGATCAACCTTTTCTGATCGATTCCACAACGTTTCTTTCACAATGCAATTGCATGACCAAAACTGGTCTTTATCTTTAATGTCTTTTGGTATGACGCGGTCGGGGTTCGAATCCACGACCTCCCACGACCAAATATTAGCCGGGGGTTGGTAAACTTGACTCATTAATACATTGTTTCTTTGTGTGCGTGTATGTGCGCGCGTGTGTGAAAAGGGTAGGCACTTGCCTCTGCCTTGGTTCAGGGAATAGAGAGAGGGGATAGGCACAAGTGGATGGTATCTTTTGAATAATGGGATCTGATTTTTTTTCAGATTTGGTCTCAGTGAGAAGTTACAATAACTGTTACAAGCTACTGAAATAGTTGCATTTGATTGGCTGAGAGCAAATCTGCCATAGAATCTAAGATTTGTGGATAACAAGTTTTATGCCCTGGAGAGTATGCACTAACCTTTCTTTTCATCAACATTGAGGTCATTTTCATGTCATGCTCCTTTCTTGCCATCTTCAGCATCTCCTTCTCCAGCGCGCTACATTCTTTGGTCTCTGTACCTTCCAGGTCGGTATCATGCCCTTGATCGTGATTATGGAGTAGAGCGCCTTCACCCCCTTCATCCTCCACAGTTTTGAGATAATCATCCGATAGATGGCGCTCTTGGTGTTGGCTATGGATCTTGATCAGTTTTCGTGCGCGGATCGGCATGTGGTGATGTAGGTTGTTCTGAGGGATCGCCGCGCGTGCGACGGTAGCGTGCGATGTTTCCGCCCTAGGACATACGGGGTCTTCGTCTTGAAGATATGTTCTTGTCGGGTCCGATGGAGGACCGTCTTCAAGCCAGCCGTCGCCGTTAGACTGTAACAGAAAGGGAATTAAACATGTTATTTACGTTTATGATGAAAGAATCCCGAACGCAATCTTATTATAAGAAGATTCACAACAACCTCATTATATTATAGTAATTTTCCAGATCCTCATTTCTGTTTTCAGCCATGAAGTAGTAATGTTTACTGACCACTGCACCACTAAGAATTACAAATCTAATGACAAGATAGTTTCCTGCGCCCAAAGGTGTTTGTCAAGACGACGGTTCATTGCAGCTACAAAAAAATAATCTAGAAAGAACATGGGAAAGCATAAAAACAGATCATGGAGCACATTTCTACCAGCTCTCAGTATTGCCATTAAAGCAAAAATAGGGCATCGACTTATTTTACAAGGAAGAAAAAGAAGAAGAAGGAAACCTGTAATTTTCGAAGAAAACACATCTTTTGGGCTAACTAGTATTAAGGATGATGGGGAAATTTATTTGCACAAGGGGCATTGAGACCAAACAGCCTGAGAGACCAATGCACGTCCTAACAGACGACAATGGCTCTGGACCCTGTTTCATAAAACTTAATATCACTCACAAGTTACAAGCTACTGTTATAAGCTACTGAAATCATGGCATCTGATTGGCTGAGAGCAAACTTGATATCAATAACAAGTTACAAGCTACTGTTATAAGCTACTGAAATCATGGCATCTGATTGGCTGAGAGCAAACTTGATATCAATAACAAGTTACAAGCTACTGTTATAAGCTACTGAAATCATGGCATCTGATTGGCTGAGAGCAAACTTGATATCAATGACAAGTTACAAGCTACTGTTATAAGCTACTGAAATCATGGCATCTGATTGGCTGAGAGCAAACTTGATATCAATGACAAGTTACAAGCTACTGTTATAAGCTACTGAAATCAAGGCATCTGATTGGCTGAGAGCACATTTGTCATAGAAATGAAGCCGTTGTTATGGATAACAAGTTTTATGAAACAGGCCCCTGGTCTCCCGGGCCTTCTGGCCCTTCTCGAAGGTTTCACGAGACAGAGAACCATTGGGGAGGACCTGTCGGTGTCGCAGGCTTCTCTGAGGGTTAATGAGACTTGCATTAATGACACCCGTGATGTTGGTCAACCAGTACGTCACAAAAAGGATGACTTAACCAATTTCTACGTACCTGCGTATTTGAATCATTGTCTCGAATGTCATCATAGAACCGTCGACAAATATCCTCAGATTCCTGGATAAGTGGAAATTAAATGAATAGAAGCAGTGTGATGATACATGTAAATGTACTTCTAAATTGTAATAAAGCGAATCCTCATATTCAGTTTTATAATTGGTGAGAAAAAAATACCTGGGTTTTCAGAAAACGTAAAGGATGGCACTTTTTCTCTAATATATGCAAGATAGTTTTTCTTCTGTAAATGGGTTATAACGTAAAGAATTGTATTTTGCCAAACAGTATGCTTGGAAGACTCCCAGGCTAAATAAATGCATTAATCAAATGATCATATAATCATGCACCTAAAAGAGACATGTCTTTGTATTGGATTCCAGAAACGAACATACTGCAAAACATTATCTCCAGTTGGTCTGATGACATCCCTAACTAAAATTGGACGAAGGGTAAGGGGGCGTATATGTAGGGGCTGGGGTTTAGAGACAAGTTGTCGGATTTCTGCAAAAGGGGTATTACCACCAGGTATTGTCACTGGCTATAATTTCCGTTTAGCAGTAGGGTAACTAAGTGTCGTGCCGGTACTAATCTACAAACATACTCACTTCAAGCTTAATGATGTCATCATCAATCTCGATCACTTCTGACTTAACAGCTTCCGATGCTTTTCTCGGTATGGCTTTCTTCCTGCGACTGATGGCGAGTTCGTCTACCTTGCGGACGGCTGTAGAACTGGAAGTCTCTCCAGTCCTGCTCTGTTCCTGGACCGTTCCTGGACCAGGAGAAGTATGGACCTGGTTCGAATCACTCATCGTACATCCTACACGCCGACCAAGATCCTTGATGGGTGCCTCCATGTTGACTCGATTAAGCTTCACCTGCAATTGACATGGTGGAGGGAAAACCGTCCTTGTTTCGTGGTTAGGTCTAACGACCAGGACCGGAGCCAGAAGATCACCCTCTATTCCTACCAGAGTACTCATCTTCCTTAGAAGTGGGTCCGTTATAACATACCCAGGTGTGTTATACTGTTTAGCATTGAGGCGGAACTCTCGCTTACACCTTGCCTTCAGGTTCTTCCAAAGCAGTCGTAACTGCTTCTCCGTTCTTTGGCTGACCTCTTGATGCTGGTTGAATTCCGTGTAGACAACGCGCCAGATGCGGGTGCGGCGAAAAATGGACAAGGTGTCGTTCTCATCCACCAGTTGACGGCCATGTTTAGAGATCAGATCAAGGAGCAGAATCTTTTCGTGGGTGCTGAAGTTCTGACCTTTTGGTTCTAGGGGTAGGGAGCGCTTAATCTTGATTGGAGGTTGGCCGAAGCCCCCGTGTTTGTCATGTTTACTACTGAATGTAGAAAGGAAGAGAGGAGAGTAAAATTTAGATCTCTGTTCAAAGAAATCGCTGTGAAATGATTAGTAGTCTTATCAAAGAAGCTTTGTAAGGACTATAAGACAAGGGAACACACAAATATGGCTTTAATTGACAGACGTAGTTTATCAAAATCTAAGAAACCTGATGAGAAGATATCTGATCATTAACCACAATGTATTGATTTATTATTTTTTTAAGGGAAAGAGGGGGAGGGGGGGGGGGCTCATAAAATTGTAATTTGACTTTTAAACCGCACACAAACGCACGCACGCACACCACATCAACCCACCAAAATATATGCAAATTATATATATACATACAATAAATGGATTGAGGGGGGGGGGGGCAAATGAGAAAACAAAGCACCATCATACTATGAATAAATCTCTCACATATTAATACAATATCTCAATATCAATATTTATAAGATGATGACGTAGATCCTAATCAAATGATTGGTTAAGTATGTGATCAGGCATTTATTTTGCCTAACGCGTAATTCGGATAATGACCGTTCATTATCCAATAGTAATGACCGGTCATTGTCAAAAACATGTTATTAAACATCATTTTATAAAACTAATAAAACATAATCTCATAAAAAATGGAAAAAACATCAGTTTGTTCGGGCATTAATAAAATTACCCACACTAGGTACCTTCAAAACAGTCCAAACACCCTCGGCTATTTCAAAGGTACCGTACGTCGTGTGGGTAATTCTTACTAATGCCCTCACTGCTGTGTATTGTTTGTATATAACACCCACATACATAAACCCTCGATACCAAACCCATCACCTAAGGCTAATCCACCATAGGCAAATTAATGCTATTAATATATGTTTATCAAACGCTTATAATTAATAAATGACACATATTTGTAAAGCTTAGATCCTCCTCTTTCATTTGATGCAACATATATGATGCATATTTCACGCATGAGTGATTAATATCAATTTGAAGAAATTAGGGATCAAAAACTCATTTTTTGGACGGTATCTAATTTTCAAGAGAAAATCAAATTTCTAGAAAGTTCATTCTCTGCCCTCTCATGTGACACCTCAATCAGGAAAAATGAGTTAGGAGTAAATTACTTCTGTTTGCTTAAAGTAATGCTTGCAATTTCCATAATTTGATTAAACGAATTCGTTTTCACTGACTGCCTGTCGTAGCAACAAACAGAGTTGACAAAAGACTTAACTCCGTTTCGTTGAAGATCAGCCATAGTCGAAAGAATTCATGCATCATTGAGAGTTCTATTGAACAATGAAGTGTTTGGAAGATTTTTTGGTTCAAAGTGTAATTTGTAATGGTGACGGAGGAACTTCCAGATTAAATATTTATATATTATATATTATACATGCATTCACAAATGCACACCCACACGTATGTGTGTACGTATCGTGTACGTTTATTTATATATATATATATATATATATATATATATATACACACAGTCATGTAATGTACTAGAAGGAAATGATTGTAATTACTGACATTGAAATACAATGGAAGTAAATTCAAGCGTTCGCTATCATTTGATTTTTGTTATATAAACCAAAGGAAAATTAATGTTTTTTCAATTTAATTCATTTATTTATTCAACCATCAAAATACATATACAATCAAAATGAGATACTTCAAAAATTTAACAGAAATCTAACACAATGATGGTTTGGTGAACCCGGAGAAAGCAGGGCTTATAAAAAAAGGGCCACCAATTGAAATTCATAAAACGATCAACGATACTCATACAAGGAAATTCGCCATCGAACATTAATATAAATAAGGAAAAAAAGAGAGGAGTACTCTTTTTGCAGCACTAAGCAGCCAAAGATTTCTCTACGTGTATACATGAGGACAAAGAGCGAAGAAGAGCTAACAAGAATATCAAGAACATATTATAAAGTAGTTAAGATTACCCTGCTTAGCTATTTGAATCTGGAAATTGTTGAACTTTTTTAAATCTCGTTGGGGAGTTTATTTCATGACTTAGGAAAATGAAATTTAAATGAATTTGAGGCAACAGAAGAGCGAACCTGAAGTGTATTAAATTACTTTGGTGAGTATAGTAAGAATGAATTGAGGAATTCAAAACAAAGATATCTCTAGATTAAGAGAGGAGGCAAGATTTTGACGTGAAATATTTACATGAACACAAGGGAATTCAAGGTATGAAGTCCTTAAATGGTAATATATTTGACTCTGAAAATAAAGGATTTATATGACTATTGCAAGCTAGGAGCATCACAGACAATTCGTATTGCTTTCTTTTGTAAAATGTATAATTTGTTATCTAAATGAGTTTAAAGGTGTGACCCTAGACAATATTACCGTAATTTATATGAGGGAGTAATGATATTGTAGAGAGTGGTGAGAATGGACTTAAAAGAAAAAGTCTCAATTCAGAGAGAACAACAATAGATCTTGATATTTTTGTACAAACTGAGCTAAGATGTGGCTTCCAAAAAAAAGATATTCTTTCAAAAAAATTACACCACCCACCCTCCCACACAATACATCAGCACAGATCATAAAGTTCCCAATGTACACGATACGCACGACCGTATAAAACTGTTGCCTGTATGTAAAATGATAATATCTGATCGCAGACTATCAAAGTATATATTTCCCAACAAGATGCTTAGACGGTAGGCCTACTACTGGCGTCTGGTATTTAAGTCTAGCATTAGCAATAACATATACACGGCCGGATATGGTTCTTAGGTGACTGGCCGAGCATACAGCCAACAGTGCGTATCGTGTGTATTGGGAACTTCATGATCTGCGCTGGTGTATTGTGTGCGAGGGTGAGCGACACAGCGTATGTGTGTGGATGGACATATTGCGTGTTCATTCACACACTGATCCTTCGGTGCATTTTATACAGCGGATCGCGCAAGATCGCCCGAATCCGAATCAAATTTCGTCGCTTTAGGACGGAAATCCAAACTCAATTAGGTGAAAAATAGATGAATAAAAGCTATATTTTAGTACTTGAACATACCTGAAATGCATTGATGGATCACCTCTGTTTGTAAGCACAATATAAGATCCTATCTCTATTTTGATGTCGGTAGAGTGTAAATGTAATCCAGGCTTGTTGATGCTGTGTATGGATCACATACAGTGAGAAAGCCAAGCCCCATATAGCAAGCTCAGGTACATATTAGACTTATTACAGTCGCGTATAGGTGTATACATGTTATGTGTATATATTTATTTATACTCCCCCATTTTACATTTCATGTTCTCCCCTGCACATATTGTCATATAAACGTATGTACACTCGTAATGTGTAATGGCACATAAGAGGCCAGCGGAAAAAAAAAAATCAAGAACAGTATTATTATAGAAGTAATAATAGCCACATTCTCATCGTTTATATATTAACGATGATTATCTATCATATATTTCGTATATCATGAGCATTTACAGTTATTCTGAATATTTCACACAGCTTGCTCCCTTGAATAACGACTCCAACGAAGCATGACTGTAAGCCGTATTCATATGGGTTCAGGCTGAGTAGCCGGAGTGGGAGGGGGGGGGGGGGAGGGGGTACTCAAGGGAACAATATGCCCCCCGTGTGTATAGTCAATAAACAAAGGAGTTATCCCCCGAAGGACCTAGGTGTTCATGCCTTAACCTTACTCCACCCCAGTTAAAATACGTGACTGTGATTTAGGGGCGGTTCAGAAAATCTGTATATATGCCTTCGCATTCCTGAATCTCGATACTTTAAAGAAAAGGATGTGATATGCCGAAACTGAAAGAATCACTTGTGAGCTTTCTCTACGATTTCATTCCTCCGTGGAAGAGTAATGTTCAATGTAGAAATGTTTCCTGAAAAGGATTCGGCTTCACATGCTCTAATATTCGAATATTAATTAAAATACCTTATTGAAATACATGTGTATATAAGTGTGTAGTCCCACATACTATTCTGATGATACAAAACCTCAAACCCCTATATTATTATTATTATGTACCAACTTACCAAGACATAATTTGCCTTTCCCGATGAATTTTGTTTACAATGCCATAGCGTGACCAGAACTCAACTTTATACAGGTATATAAGCCAGTTGTTTAGAAAAAAAAGGGAGCGACGTCATAATCTGAATGTTGTCTTTCCATGAACACATTACCTCACAACATTTTATTAGCTCATGTTCTCAATCTAATCATCCTTCATGCTTCGTACTTCACGTTTCATACTTCATGCTTATATTTACGTTCTTTCCCTTCTCGTTAATCCTCTCTCTCTCTCTCTCTTCCTCTCTCACCCTCTCTCTCTCTCTCTGCCCTCTTTCGTTCTCTGTATCTCTCTATATATTCATTTTAAACCAACTTTGTTATTGATAATTTTTTTTTACTTCTTTCATATTTTCCATTTTTGAATAATAATTTTTCATTTGTCCTCTACCTCTCAATCACTTTGCTTCGTGTTTCACATTTTACTTTCATCCTCTACCATTCACCTTCCCATCACTCACCTTTATTTTTACTTTTCTTTTAGTCTTCGTCTTGAATATCTCATCACTATTCTCCAGCTGTCAGCATTTCTCCCCATTTTACTTATTATTTATAAGTTATATGAATGTAACTCTCTCTTGCTTATTGATTATGAGTGATTTCATTTGTTGTAAATATTTCCATTCTGCTGTTAATGCTACATTATGACAGAATGGCGATAGCAAAGGAATGGAAACTCTTGTTATTTATTCAAACGCATGCGCGAGTTCGATAGCGTAACAATGGGAAGCGTGACATTCCACTTAGCTTTGAAGTTCCATGCTCCGAGTCGTTCTTCCACCAGTGGCGGATCCGGGGGGGGGGGGGGGGGGGGGCCCGGGGGGCCCGCCCCCCCCCCTTGAGAAAAAAATCATGTAAAATCACGTGATTTTTACCTTTTTGGGGGTTGGGCCAAATTGAAAAAAATGTGCTCACTACCCCCCCTCCCCCCCCACTGAGCGAATTTTTGACCGGCGCATTTTTCAAATTTTCGGGAGCAAAAAAAAATAAAAAATTGTGCTCTGTACCCCCCCCCCCCCCACTGAGCGACTTTTCGGCCGGCGCGATTTTCAAATTTTTGGGAGCAAAAAAAAAAAAAGTTGGGCCCCCTCCCCTAAGAAATCCTGGATCCGCGCCTGTCTTCCACTGCGGGGAATGTCGGAGGCCAGGCACCAGTTTCACATTTATCGAATTACCGGCGAAATTTAAGTACAAATTATAAACTTTATATGGGGATTGTATTGGGAATAGTGAATTAAACAATTTTTTTTCAAATTTAGTACTCCGCCCTTTCTATAATTTGTGTGACAGAGTTGGTAACAAAAAAATTAGATCCTGAAAAAACTTAATATTTTAGGAAATACGAATATTTTGCATGTTGTAATGTCCCGTCATTTAATCCATGATTTACAATCTTCGATAACTTTAAGTTTGCTAATACGTTCTTTCGCGTGTTTAAAAAAATATTTTTGCCGTTGAAAAAAAGTATGAAATTACAAAAGTTTGTGTTCGCTTGTCCAACTCATTACACATTTAATAATTAATGAGAAATCGTCGAACGGAACAGCGAACGTTTGCTGAGATAACAATTTTCTGATATTTCATATATTTTATATATCGCATAACTTTGCGGCTGCTTATGATATCGAAAGTCACTGTACACAAATTAATAATTAAACAAAGAGACATTATATTACAACTAAATTTAAAGTACAAAAACAACTCCATGTAGTAGGTAAGCATCAACAAAGAAAAACACACAACAACAACGAGGTTGTGAATATATCATGTCCCAATAATTTGGGGAAACGCATATTATTTAAAGTTTACTTATATCAGACATGATAAAAGTGGTTAAGTGATTGAAATAGACAACATAGGATGTCTAAAAATAAACAACAGTCTAGTAAGCCTGTGTCATCGACTTAAAAGTTCGAATTAATTAATTTAAAGCTTATCAGTACTAGTGTAAAGGAGAGATTAGACCAACCTGCAAAATAAACAACTATAGATACACTAGTAAGTATATTTCAGTTCGTTATTCAAAACCCTCTCTGTTTTTTATAATTATTTTTACTAAAGATTGAGAAATATTATAAACTGAACTATTGAGCCATTTGCCCATTGAATACAGTTAGCATTGAGACCATTCTCTGTCTGTTTCCATAAACATACAAAGTAATAAGCATGTATAAAAACGGGATCCCAAATGTGAATAACGACATGATAATTATATATGATTAAAGACATACACAAATACTGTTACGTAGCAATACATGTGCATGCCAAAGTAAACAGGAAAGAAAAAAAAACACGCCACAATATTAGAGACAACACAGCCCGGTAGAATGCATTACATAGACAAGGAAACCACTTTGTTTACACAAAACCTACGCAATGCCCCGATTGTATCAATATAAAATAAGGGTAGTACAACACTACATTAGAGTAAAAAGCATGAGTATGTCATGAGTATAATGGCAAAGTCACATCAATTGACAGATATGTCCAAAAAAGACATATTAATGTCGTAGTACTGTAAAAGAAAAGATAACAATTATGTCATAGTGATTTAACAATAGAGACAGGCCAAGTTAAGGTCACATTAAAATCACCATCAGTATAATGGTATGGTTTTACCACATTAGTGTAACAATATGAAATATTACCGTGCAATAGTCACAGTGAAGATATTATAGAGGCCAATGTGATATTAATTCAATTCAATTCAATTCAAATTAGGTTTGATCAATCTCTTCAAAAAGTCCAATGACTAAAAATGTGAGTTTACATTAAACATACAATCATATAAAAAACAATAAATACATATATACATATGAAGAAAAGCATAGCAAATGGGAAGAAAAAAAAATCAATAAATGTTTACATCAAAACATCAAAGCAGTAACAAACAAAAACAGATTAAAAAATATATATATATAAAATATTGCTAGCATGTCAGACGAGAGTACTAAAAATAAAGTAATTCAAAAAAGATTGAAGCTTTATGATAAAAAATGAAGAAAATGAGGCCTTCTGTATTGTTACTGAGAGAATTATTGTCATAGGCAAATCAAATGTATACAGATACGTGAATTCAATTAACTGTAACATAGGACAAACTGCTATAAAATGCAATACAAATTCCATCTAGACTGATGATATAATGAGTATTAAAAAGTATTAAAAAGTATCAAAAAGTATAAAAATTGGAATGAGGACATTTTCTTGTCTCAATATTGTTTTACTACAGACATAATAATAAATGATCATCATTCCCAAATGTTGCAGATGTTTCATAAGTAATGGGCCGTGGTGATTTATATGCGTAGTACATGTGTGTTCCGAAACACATGCTCCTGCAACAATGGCTCCACGATAATTTCCCACACTGACTGAATTCTTCAACCCTCCATCTAACACTATGCATGTACGTAACCCTTAACCTAACATTCGAGTTCAAGTTCAATTTAACTAAATTTCAATAAATGCATATATACAGCACAGGCGAAAATCATTATACATGGAACCATGGGTATGATGTAGTAGTTCAAGTTCAATTGTATGTACACACATACATCAGAAATACAGCACAGATACAAACCATTATACATGGAATCATGGGTATCATAGTAGTTCAAGTTCGAGTTCAATTGTATGTACACATATACATCAGAAATACAGCACAGATACAAACCATTATACATGGAATCATGGGTATAATGTAGTAGTTCAAGTTCAAGTTCAATTGTATGCACACATATACATCATAAATACAGCACAGATACAAACCATTATACATGGAATCATGGGTACCATGTAATAGTTCAAGTTCAAGTTCAATTGTATGTACACATATACATCAGAAATACAGCACAGATACAAACCATTATACATGGAATCATGGGTACAATGTAGTAGTTCAAGTTCAAGTTCAATTGTATGTACACATATACATCAGAAATACAGCACAGATACAAACCATTATACATGGAATCATGGGTACAATGTAGTAGTTCAAGTTCAAGTTCAATTGTATGTACAAATATACATCAGAAATACAGCACAGATACAAACCATTATACGTGGAATCATGGGTACAATGTAGTAGTTCAAGTTCAAGTTCAATTGTTTGTACACATATACATCAGAAATACAGCACAGATACAAACCATTATACATGGAATCATGGGTACCATGTAGTAGTTCAAGTTCAAGTTTAATTGTATGTACACATATACATCAGAAATACAGCATAAATACAAACCATTATACATGGAACCAAGGGAAACATAACAGACCAAGGCGGTCTTGACGAGTTATTCCCCTTATATGAGATATCTGTCGGAGGAGTAACAACCCTCTGAAAACTCAAAATATAAAGCCTTGTAAATCGGAAGTTGTCGACCTAAAACTAGCTATTGACTTATTATTGACATAATCGTATGTGGAGTAAACATATTTATGATAATTTTGCATTAATAAAGCACGGTTCATCGCCTATATAGGCGAGCTGATGGGGGTCCACATGACACTTTATATCGTCACCGTAGCTGCGGCAAATTCGGTTTTAATATGCTTGTATGCAATACTTAAAGGGAATATATTTGTAATTCCTGTATATTGGCATTTTACATTCATTCAGCTAACCATATAAATATTTTGTATATCATATACGATAACAACATAATTGCTTCAACGTTAGTGCAACCCCCCCCCATAATATTCCTATGGTTCAATAATTACTATTAATGATTGATTTATTGTCATAAATGGAACAGAAAGAAGTAAACATTGAGTAGACCTGGGTTACCGAACTTATTGTAAAACCCGTCACCAAACTCGACATGTGAATGATCACCAGACTCTTCATTTTACCATGACATCTGATTCGCCAGGAGCACGCTGACTCATCATCCAACTCGTCACCTGACTCATCATCCAACTCGTCACCTGACTCATCATCCGACTCGTCACCTGACTCATCATCCAACTCGTCACCTGACTCATCATCCAACTCGTCACCTGACCCATCATTCAACCCGTCACCTGACTCATCGGACTCGCCAGGAGCACGCTGAGGATCATCATCAAACCCGTCACCTGACTCATCATCCAACCCGTCACCTGACTCATCATCCAACTCATTACCTGACTCATCATCCAACTCGTCGCCTGACTCATCATCCAACTCGTCACCTGACTCATAATCCAACTCGTCAACTGACTCATGAAATGAATGTTCGTCAGACTCGTTATCGCAATCATCTCCAGATTCTTCAACTGAATGCTCATTAGACTCGATATCAGAGTCATTGCCTTCATCCTCAGGCTCGTCATCGTCATTGGAGCCTTCATCTCCCTCAAGCCTAATAGCGTCGACATCCATATTCATCCAACTATATGTTTCATAATCTGAATCTTCGCCAGGCTCTTCATCCTTTTGTCAATCTCCGCCTTCCTCGTAGTCAGACAGGTTTAGATCGCCTAGTTCCTCTTCTGGTGTCTCATCTGACTCTTCGTCTGAATATGAAATGTCGAAGTAGTCGTATGAGTCAACTCTGTAAGAAAGTGTACATCAGAAGGAGAAAAGAAAGGCGGTTTTTATTAAACAACGACAGGAAAAACCTCAAAACTCAATACGACAATCATGATTTTTTTTCTTGTAAAAGACTGTGGTGGTATCATGAAAACTTTTCAATATGTTGGTGAAGTAATGTTAACTAGCATAACAAATATGAGTATAGGGCAATTCCTTGGTGAATTTCTGCGCAAACCTGGCTGCGTATTCATGCAGTTTTAAGGCACATCTGCGTCAATACCCATGAGAAGTGTCTATTCAGGGCAATTTCCTTTTTGACAATAACAATTTCAGTTCCATAAAAGTAAGTATCGACTTCAAAATACAGGCCAAGGTGTTCGAGGGCTCTTTAGGGGCTGTTCTCCTTTTTCCAGATTCAACATTCATTTTTCATGGACTCCAGTCCGTGCTTTTATAGTTTTTTTACGGGCTCAGAATGGAATCTACTTTCTGCGCCTTCGAATTATACCAATCATTGCCAAAGCTTTCATGAGTGTATATTATATATTGCTTACGGTCTATACTCCACCTCTACTCTGAAGACTTTCTCGTTGTTGATTTTGTCTCTGAGGGAAAGCAGTTCATCCCGGCCTACAGTATTAGCCTCCCAACTCGCCTGAAAAAATCTGTGAGATAAATATAGTCTTGTAAGTGATTCTAGTTGCTTAGACGTTGTTGTGTCTTCATCGCAATTTCACATAAGTTTATTAAGAATGATGGAAATGGCAAACTATTGATTTCTATGGGCAGCAAATGTTGAAGGGAACTGAATTGAATAGTACCCATTTGCAGGATACTTAATCACTATCCACTCCCTTTCCCAATCGATTTATTTTCCCTCTCTCTTTGTTGAAATGTATCTTGCTGCCAGCTTCCTCTCTAACATTTTTTGTTCAGTTTCTAGTGTGTCCCTCATGTGTATGGTTCATTGTTTTACTTGAACATTTCTGATGCAATTGTCGTGCCCCACAATTAACCAAATCATGCGGACTTATATAAATTTTATATCTAGATAATCATTAGAAAAAATATAAGACATCGCACTTTTTCAAAGACAGATAGAGTGAGAGCTGGTATGATAAGATTCTGGGGAAAAGAGTAGGGGAGGAAAATGTGGGAATACTTATGCATGGCAGGAAATACCGTATGTTTATAGTGGAATAGAAAGAGAGAGAGAGAGAGAGAGAAAGAAAGAAAGTAGATGTGTATGTGTGTGTGTGTGTGTGCGTGTGTGTGCGCGCGTGTGTTTGTGTGTGAGTGTAAGAGATACAGAGAGAAACAGAGAGAAAGGGGCTGGGGTGAAAGAGCAGTTGAGAGAGGATAGGTTAGTGGTAGGAAAGGACTATTATAATGCGTGGCATGGTATAACAAAATAGAAACACAACCTCACCTTACGCTCTTCAATTCTCTGAGGACTCGAGTCTCTCTCAGTGATTCCAAGATCTGTTTGAGGGTTGCATTGCCCAGGGGAATTTTGAATGTCAGCTTGATTAGTTGAGGGAAGACCCTCACGAGGTGCTTGAACATTGTGCTGGGCTCATCTTTGACCGGGTAAGGCATGAGACTGGGTCTGCCAACGATGGATAGCTCTGTAACTCCTTGGAACCCATGTATGCTTTTGTTATTGATGTTCGAAGGTGTAGGATATTTGAGAAAAGAAAGTAATGAGAATATCTAAAATACGAAGCTCTAAGTATATACCAGTTGATTTAAACAAGTGGACATGCAAAGATATCGACATGTTGGGGTCCCACATGTGCTTTATAACATATATCCTGAAACAAAACATGAAATAGGGAATTTTAGGGTCAATGCAATAGGCTATGACCTGGAAACTGGCCTACCTGAACAGCCATTTACATGAAAAAGATTGAATCAATTAATTTTGCCTAATTAAAATAAATAAATCATCAAGTATTGAATATCCATCTTGCACAAATTATAAACTTGCCACTTGATCATAAACGACTAGACTAATATAATTTACAAATCATCTCATTCATAAAGTTAAATAAAACTTTCAATATGGCAATTTAAATATTATGTTATGAAGGCTAAGAAGGACCTACATAGGTTGAATAGAGAAAGGGGAATAAGGAAGAGAATGCAACTGGATTAGTGTGTTCGTTATTATTTATCGTGTGTTCGTGTATCTCTCTCTTTCTCTCTCTCTCTCTCTCTACATATATCTTTTTCACTGACACACACACATTATAGAGACAGAGAGACAGAGACGGGGGAGGGGGGGGGGGCATAACATGAACATATCGTCGGTGGGGTGACAAAACCTCGTATCTCAATTTTTTGAGACTTTGATTTGTTTGCATAATTTTGTACCTAATAGGCTAATGGCCTTCGGCACCACCTGATAAATCCATGGAACGCCTCCTTCTCTGTTTTTTTCACAAATTCCACACAAACACCCTTAAACTAATTGCTGGAATTATGCATATGTCACGTATGTCCTATTTGTGAAATTTAAACGTTAGCAGTTTCCTAGTAATTTGAAAGTGAGTTACGAGGTTTTTGCGTTTATCTACATTGAGATACGAGTTTTTAGTTTGTATTCAAATTGAGATACAACTTCTTACTTTCAACCTCGTAACTTTAACCCCTTTTGAAGCTGCACTGACAAAACTTCGTAACATAAGAAACGTAATTCTTTTTCCTCGTAACTCACACACGGCCTAACAGTACCGAAGTTAGTGTATTCAAATCCTCGTACCTTATTCAACCAAAACCTCGTAACTCATTCAGAGTTGAAAGTAAGAACTCGTATCTCAATTTGAATACAAACTAAAAACTCGTATCTCAATGTAGATAAACGCAAAAACCTCGTAACTCACTTTCAAATATAAAAACAATTATTTTACTGTATTTCAACAATGACATTAAAAATTGTATAAATATTCCAGTTTTAAAAAGAAAGGACGGTGTCACAGCACTAAATTTGTTGAGACAGGAATTTGTTTTCGCTCTCCTGAAAATTCATGATTTTTGAGAAACGAGGTTTTGTCACCCCACCGACGATATGAATATACGCAAACAAATGGACACGTATCAGTCTATTAAAGAAAGAAAGAAATCCATTACCTTTGGATGAAGTCTAACCCGGATTTATGCGAGATGTAGATAGATAACTTCTCCACACTGTCAAACATTTCACCACATGACTGCAATGCAATCACCATGTCATCGTCTACTATCAACTCACACAGAGAGGTATGATGTGTTGTGCTCTGATTATTACCCTAAATCAATACAAATATGAACAAGCCGTTTTATAATCTATATTGTACACACTGTTGTCAATAAATTTGGAAGACCTCACTAGTCACTATGCTGAATAGAATCATCAGACAGGCCGAGTAGATAATAGGTCACACATTAAACTTTAGAGATTTTTTTCGAAATAGGATAGTACAATGACAAACATAGGATAGTACACTAGGATAGTACAATAGGAAAAATCGATCCTAAAGAATAATCAGGGGGTGGGGGGGGGGGGGGGGGGGCCTGCTCTCTTGATTCATGTTTTTATGTCTTAAATAGGTAGAGGTGTTGTGGTCGAGTGGATACGTCGCCGGACTGTCGATCACAAGGTCCGCGGTTCGAGTCCCGCCGCCGCACTAATGTCCTTTGGCAAGACATTGATCTACATTTGCCACACTCCACCCAGGAGCGCCAGAAGGGTTAAATCTGACCGACATGAGCGCTATACAAGGACCCACTATTAAATATTATTACATTTTTCAACGGCAGGCATGGTGTAATTGATCGAGGGATGGGTAATGCTTTCCACGGAAAAGCGGTTCTGGTGCTCACCTATAATTATATAATTATTGTTACCGATGGACGTGATAAACATATGTTGTTGAATGTGGTTGATACTGATGATGATGATAAAATAACAATGATTATACCTGTACATAATAATAGTTATAACAATATAATCATGGTGATAATAATGATAATATTAATAGTAATAATATTAATAATAATAAATGGGATTATAAAGCAATTATATTAATATAATACATTATTGTTACCTGTAAACAATTATAATCTTTCTCACTTGGTATACATGTATATTGTTTTTGATAAATGAATACATCTTTGTTTCATTATTTATGTGTTTTTTTTTCTTTTTTTTCTGTCAACTCAAAATTATTTTATTGAATTTGTCTTTTTGTATGAGTATAGTATCTGTTTAATGTGTGTATCCATATATCATGTACATACGACAAAACTTATGAACCTTATGAGTATTTTTTTCTTATAGTCCGGCAGCCAAATCAGATTGCTGACACTCTGTCAACCTTGAGCAATTTAAGATATATGACGTCATACAAAATGGCCGCCAAAGTACATGATTTTTCTCTAAAAATGAATAATTAATATATAATAAGGATTTTTCTACAATTTTGGGCAGCCACATGTGTGTATTTCTCTAGGACCATCACTAACACATTGTTTCGTGATGTTCCACGGCCATAGATGACAAGCTAATTTGCATATTTTGAAATAGCGCCCTCTTTAAATATATTAATTTTGCATAAAGATAGTCCGGCAGCCAAACCCAGATTATTGGCCTAACCTTGTTTTAGGGTCTATAGTTTTTTTTTCAACGGATTTTGATTGTCTAAAGCTTCTATTTTAAGAATCCAATAGCTGACACTCTGTCAGCCTTGAGCAATTTAAGATATATGACGTCATACAAAATGGCCGCCAAAGTACATGATTTTCCTTCAAAAATGAATAATAAATATATAATAAGGATTTTTTTCTACAATTTTGGGCAGCCAAATGTCTGTATCTCTCTAGGACCATCTCTAAAAAAATGTTTTGTGATGTTGCATGGCCATAGATGACCAGCTTATTTGTATATTTTGAAATAGCGCCCTCTATAAACATATTAATTTGAATAAAATATGTGTGCCAGCCAAATGCCAATTTCTTAAATCTATGTCACGTTGAAATCATATTTAACTCTTATCCTGCCACAGGGCTAATCCCCCCAGTGCCAGATTTATAACGAGATAATCGGATTAACGCGATGGTACTAACAATAGCGCGTGCAAAACACTAGGCACAGTCCAATGGGCATGAACAATAACTGCTATTACGAATGTTTGCTAGCATGCAAGAAGCAGCGTAACAATAGCGTGCATGCAGCCTCATGGCAGGCTATGAGTTAATGCTTTTTTGGGGGGCAACAATTGCAGTTGTGCTGCATTCATCTTTCATGTTGTTTTGTCCAAATTTAGATAGGGTAGGTGTGGGGAATTGGAGACCCTTAAGCACATGTGCATAATTTACATAAACATGAACAATGTTACACATACAGAAAGTTTTGTATTCTCTTCAGTAACCTTTTCTCTTTATTTGGTAACAAAATTGTGGTCATGATGTAACTGATTAATAAGATAACAATGATTAATGACGCCATCGCCAAAGGTCTCTCATTACCTACATGTGTAGGTAATTAGGGACAGTTACAAATCAAGACATTTTAAATACAATTTGAATGAAAATGGGATTGTTATAGTTAGTTCAAACACTTTTTGAAAGAGATACATGCAGCCAATGAACTTACTGTAAATTTGAAACGATTTTAAAACAATGTGGCCCAAAATATTTCTGTAGTTTTTTGTTTACACTAATAAAGGTGCTTTAAATTATGTTTAAATACTTTCAGAATAATGTTCTGGTCATGTGACTTTTACATTGATCAAACTTACAGCATAGAAACAACTTCTTAAAATGAAATGCATTCAAATTAGAATGGTGACACGAACGACCAAATATGTTTCATGATAGTGCCTTTCATCATGAAATGAACAACTGGGGGGAAGTAGGCCCCCATCTTGGACCTGGTGTCCCCCATTGCCTACACACATTTCTGATCAGACACCATTCATAATGTGCATTACAACACCAATTCACAACACACAATGGCCATAAGTTTTCTATGATGGTTGGCACACTTCATAAACTTCCTTTTAAAACTGATTGTTAAGAGCCACCCCTAAATCTGCATACACCACAACATTCAGTGAAAATTGTTTTTTTTTTAATATCTGAGCAAATTTTTACGATCAAAAATGCTTATCTTGGTCAATTTTGCCAATTTTCTCGGAGAGAGAACGCATTGTTGTCTTTGAAATGAATTGGATAAATGCAGTAGTGTTGTTAAAGGCCACATATGGCGCTATAGCAATATTGGAGCCAACACGGACAGACAGTGATGGGTTTCAAGCTTGGTGGTCTCCAATTCCCTACACCTACCCTACATAATTATGTCAAGAAACAAAAATGGCTATGAAATAATTCATTTTTCATCAAATCGGTGAGAAGTGGTTTTACGGCACAAATTATTATTCCATTGATAGGCTTTATTTAGACCAGCATTGCTCCAACGTCAGTGAATGTGGATACAGCAGTTGACATCTGTACTAGACAGATGCATGAGTTTCAAAAGAAATTACCTGGTGGATTCTATGACAAAATTTCCAGAAAGTTCAAACCATGGCAGCCATGAAGAAGTCAATAAATGTTGGGGTACGAAAGTCTATGAAAAGTTGATTTACTGCAGAGGAATAGGACTGCAGGCAAGTTCAAGAGAGGTCAATGCCGAGGACATTTTGTCATAAGAGCTTTCACCAGTCCCAACAGCACTCTTTGATGATTCTGGAAACGAGCACTCCCATGTCAAAGGCGGACTTATAGAATTTGACAAAAGTTGAGATGTCAGGCAGGCATGAGACACTGGAACGACCTTGTACAGTCATTGATGGTTGTGCTCTACTGTGGATGAAAACCTGATGATGTTTGCTTGGTGTCTGACAGATCCAAGAGTACCTAGAGGTCATAACGGGTCGAGAGTCTTCCAACTGAGTCCCGCGTCACTGCTGCCCTCCAAGAAACTATGTCTCACTGTTCGTCGTCGTCGTCGTTGTCATATAGATCATGGCTCACCCTTGTGACCCGTTTGATGAGACCTTTCGATCGGCATCTGTCTCCTGCAATCCGGCGGTAGAGTGTATTTAGAGGGTGGCTAGTGATTTCCCTAAGGTCGTCACTCCATCTGAGCTTGAGTCTTCCTTTGTTACGTGTTCCTTCAAAGGTACCTTGAATGATAATTTGTCAAGTTTGTCTCCTGATCTTCTGCTAACGTGACCAAACTATTGTAGCTTGTACTTGTCAATCCTGGTAGCAAGTGGCGGTTGATCTCTTAGTATATTTGTAAAGCGCTTAGAGACATTTGTATTAAGCGCTATATAAAAATTAAATATTATTATTATTATTATTATCTCCGATTATAAACATTAATTGTGTCCATTGGTTATGTAATCTCTTCATGATATCCCAAGTAGCTTCCTCCAATACCACATTTCAAAGGCAGATATTGCTCCCCTGTCTGCCTTTCCTAATGCCCATGTCTTGCAGCCATAGAGTTCCTACTTAGAAAAACAATGCCTTCATTACACGGATCTTAGTGGCCATGGGTGAGGTTCCTGTACTTCCAGATATTTGACAGTGTTGAGGCCGATGTTTTAGCCATGGCCAGTTGTCTCTTGATATTTATCAAGCTTCCACCCTCCTTGACAATCATTGACCCAAGAACATTATATAAACTTGTCCACTTGATCAACTTCTTCTCCATCAACCACCATGCTCTGTTGCATGTAGTTAATTTCCACCAATCATGATCTTGGTGTTTTTCACATTGAGGTAGGGTCCAAATTATTAACTTGCATCCTTCACTCTTTTTTAAGGAGTTTTAGTAGTTCTTCTGATGTTCTTGTTATAAGTGTTGTCAGTGGCATAATGAGCAAAAACACTTAGAGGGGCAGAAAAAACAATCTGTATCACCACCACTCATACATGTTACATGCAGGCCCCGTGGAACGTTTTTTAAAGCGAAGGTGGGGGGGGGGGGGGCTAAAGTATTTACGATCAGGAAGAGAGGGACGCAAATTGGCGTGGGGTCCAGGGGGCAGGGCCCCCGGAAGCTCGGGGGTCGTAGGCAGCTAATAATTGTCAGATGAGCATCCATGCAGGGGCCTGCCTTAGGGCCCTAGGTGGGGTTCAAGGGGCACAGCCCCCGGAAGCTCAGGGGTTTTAGGCATTTAATAACTGTCAGATGAGCATATTTTGATACCTCATTTCACCTTGGGTCACTTTCTTTCTTTCTTTCTAGTTCTCTTTATTAAACATACTTTATACGAAAAGTGAGAGGGGCTCGAGTCCCCTGAGCCCCGCCGTTCCGCGGACCCTGACATGTAGGCTTTTAAATAAGCATATTTTTTGCTTGATTGTGAATTTAGGGATTTGTCATTTTCCAACATACGCTTAACAAATTATAATTTACTAAAAAGTGAGAAAAAAACCCATGAAAATCATGTCATTTCATCAACATTTGTAAATCATTGGTATCGAATATG